ATTCTCTCAAACACGCCGCGATACTGCTCCAGAATCAGGCTGATCAGCGTCACGGTTTTGCCCGATTTGGAAGGTCCGAGGAAAATGCCCGTGCACGGAACCAGGGGCACCACGGGGTCCGAGGGCTGTTTGCTGCTGTATTCTGGCGTGGGGAAAAGCTTGATCTTTCCCATGACGTTCCTTTGCGTTACTTGTCAAATTTGAAGCCGGCAACCCGGGCGGCGAGTCCGGGAGTGCATCGGTGTGTACCGACGCACTGCCGGTGTTTTCCGCGCAATCCGGGCGGCGAGTCTGGGGGGCGTAGTGCTGTACAGCACTGCGCTTCCAGCGTTTTCTGGGAAACACCGGGGCAATCCTGTGCCCACGCCAGGATTGAGTGTGGCAATCCTGTGCCCACGCCAGGATTGAGTGTGGCAATCCTGTGCCCACGCCAGGATTGAGTGAGGCAATCCTGTGCCCACGCCAGGATTGAGTGAGGCAATCCTGTGCCCACGCCAGGATTGAGTGGGGCAATCCTGTGCCCGCGCCAGGATTGACGGCAGGGCGTGTGAGTGGTGAAAAAACACTCTGTCAGCGATACTGCGAGGACAGCATCGCTGATTTTTCGGGCAAAATCGGAAGCTACAGCGAAGTCGGAAAACCGACCTCGGTGTAGAGCGAAGTCGGAATCCCGACCTCGGCATATTCTCACTGTTTGAGAAACTGCTGAAAAGTCTTCTAAGACCTGTTGGACTCGGCGGGCTGGCGTGTCAGGCGCGGCTGGCAACAGGCACCAACCATTTTTTGGTTGCTGCCCGCGTGGAGTTCCGCCGCTGGCAGGAATGCAATTGAGGGGAAATATCCCTCAATTCAACTTCCCGTGCTACCAGTACACAAACTCGCTCAGGTGGCGCGGCAAGGCTTCTATGCCGGGCAGGCGCGGCAGGGTGGCGCACCCAAGCCGTATGACCGTATGATCCGTATGATCCGTATGATCCGTATGACTCGACAAGCCTGGCATTGAAGCCTCAGCTGAGTCATACGGATCATACGGATCATACGGATCATACGGTCATACGGCGGCTCGGTCCGGGAGTACCACCCAGGTGACCTGCCTGGCATCGAAGCCTCGGCACCTACCCGGTATCAAAGCCTCCACGTTGGGCGAGCCAGTATTGGGCGAACCAGTTGGGCGAGCCAGTACTAAGGGGCCGTTGGGCGAGCCAGTACTTGGGCGAGCCAGTTGGGCGAGCCAGTACTAAGGGGTTGGGCGAACCCGTACTAAGGGGCCGTTGGGCGAGCCAGTACTAAGGGGCCGTTGGGCGAGCCAGTACTAAGAAACCGTTGGGCGAGCCGGTACTAAGGGGCCGTTGGGCGAGCCATCAAACGAGGTTGGGCGAGCCCGTACTCATTGGGCGAGCCAGTTGGGCGAGCCAGTACTAAGGGGCCGTTGGGCGAGCCAGTACTAAGGGGCCGTTGGGCGATGGTTGCTGAAGGAGCTCAAACGGTGAGCTCCTTCACACCCTGCTCGTCCTCAGTGGACGCCTGCTTGGCGCTACGGTGCCAGCTCGGCACGTGCCCGCTCGGCACATCTAGTGCCTGCTCGGCACGGTGCCTGCTCGGCACAATTAGTTACTAGTGCCCGCTCGGCACTGCACCCCCTCCACGGTGCCAGCTCGGCACCGGGGTGACTTTCCTACAAGTGCCCGCTCGGCACTGGGGTGCCAGCTCGGCACGTGCCCGCTCGGCACTGCCTGTGCCTGCTCGGCACGTGCCCGCTCGGCACAGCTAGTTACTAGTGCCCGCTCGGCACTGTTAGTTAAGTGCCCGCTCGGCACTGCCCTGCCTCGCAGAAGTTCAGGATGTCCAGGATGAACCTACGTACGGCCTGTCAGGAAAAAAAAACAGGGGGAGGGGGCACGGGGTTGAGCCACATGACATGCAAAAAACCGTGCGAAAAAAAACGTGCAAAATCATGTCATGCAAAAACCATGCAAAAACCATGTCAAAATCATGTCAAAATCATGTCAAAATCATGTCAAAATCATGCAAAAACCATGCAAAATCGTGCAAAAACCATGCAAAAACGTGCAAAAAACCATGTCATGTCATGCAAACATGCAAAAACCATGCAAACATGCGGCGCGTACGCTGGCGTCTACACTGCGAAAAAACGTGCAAGCTGTTCGTGTCATGCAAAAAACAAGCTGTTCCACATGCCATGAAAAAACCGCGCGCAAAACCGAGCGAAAAAACGTGCAAGCTGTTCGTGTCATGCAAAAAACAAGCTGTTCCACATGTCATGCAAAAACCATGCAAAAACCATGCAAAAACCATGCAACATGCGGCGCTGGCGTCTACGCAGGGCGCGGCAAGGCTTCTACGCAGGGCGCGGCAACCCGCTGAACATCCACTCTCCGCCGGGTCCATGCTATATGTGCTATATGTGCTATATCTCACAAGGCAAGCCACTGAACATCCACACCCCCCCGGGTCCATGCTATATGTGCTATATGTGCTATATCTCACAAGGCAAGCCACTGAACATCCACTCCCCCCCGGGTCCATGCTATATGTACTATATGTGCTATATCTCACAAGGCAAGCCACTGAACCTCCACTCCCCTCCGGGTCCATGCTATATGTACTATATGTGCTATATGGCCCTATATAGCATATATAGTACAGATTTCGCGCGTACAGAGTATATAGCACATATAGTACATATAGCAAGGAGCTGGGGGAGAGTGGGGGTTCAGCGGCTTGGCGTGTAAGATATAGCACATATAGCACATATAGCAAGGAACCCGGGGAGAGTGGGGGTTCAGCGGCTTGGCGTGTAAGATATAGCACATATAGCACATATAGCAAGGACCCGGCGGAGAGTGGGGGTTCAGCGGGTTGGCGCGGCAGGGTGGCGCACCCGGAGTGCCAAGAACATGTTCATCCGACATGTACTCCGACATGTTGAAGAAATTCAGCGTATAGCAAGGAACCCGGGGAGTGGAGGTTTCGCGGCTTGGCGCGGCAGAAATGTGAACACGAGTGGCAATTGTGTTGGCACTTGTGTTGAAGAAATTAAGCGTATAGCAAGGAATCCTGGGGGAATTTCAATGCAGGGATACTGCAGGGAATCCCTGCATCCCCGGTATCTCTCTCTGTAGAGGGGGTTTCCCAAATGGCTTATATTCTACCTGAGAGGCTCCCAGCACTCGTCCGTCCAGCATTTGACCTCGTCCTGCGATGGATTCGAAGTCTAAAACGCTGCGTGGAGGCGTGAGGCTGCAAAATAGAGACCCCTAGATATGCGCTGCAATTTGGCTCCAGGTTGCATTTCAAGCGATGTCAAGCTTTGCCAAAGGAAACCCTTTTCCCTTTTTTTCGGGGACCCCTTTTTTTGGGACCCCTTGTTTTCTTTTTTTTTGTTTTTTCTTAGCCCTGCAAAGGTTGGCTCGCTTGAAATGCAACCTGGAGCCAAATTGCAAGCATATCTAGGGGTCTCTATTTTGCAGCCACACGCCTGCACGCAGCGGTTTAGACTTCGAATCCTTCGCAGGACGAGGTCAAATGCTGGACGGACGAGTGCTAGAAGCCTCTCAGGTAGAATATAAGCCATTTGGAAAACCCCCTCTACAGAGAGAGCGGCCGGGCCGCGCTCAGCGGCGCTCTCTGGCCGCTGCCCGTGTTTGTTTCGGCCGAGCCCTCTTTGCAGCTGCCGCCTTGACACGCAGCGCATTGGCCTCCTCCGTGCTCAGCCACAGAGCCAGACGGGCGCAGGCGGCCTCAAAGATGTCGGGGTTCTCGTGCCTCCGCAGCGCCTTGAGCACGCATGTGGCGCTATTCTACGAAGAGCTAGAAAGGAAGCGAGGCTCGCCAGGGAGCGCTCCGTGGCGCTGTTCTGTGAAGAGCTGGAAAGGAAGCTAGAAAGGAGGGAGCGCTCCGTGGCGCTATTTTATGAAGAGCTGGAAAGGAAGCAGAGGCCAGCCAGGGACCGCTCCGTGGCGCTATTCTATGAAGAGACTAGCTAGCGTGTTCTATGCTGCGGCGCTATTCTATAACTAGCTAGAACAGAAGCAGCAGCGAGGCTAGCCTACGAAGAGCTAGACAGGAAGCGAGGCTAGCCAGGGAGCGCTCCGTGGCGCTATTCTATGAAGAGCGTGGCGTTGTTCTATGAAGAGCTAGAAAGGAAGCGGGGCAAGGAAGAAAGAGGCTAGCCAGCCGTGGCGCTATTCTTTAGTTTAATTTTGTTTATTTTTTTTGTTTATATTTTATAGTCCTTCGGGTTTTGGTTGGTTGTGGATATTGTGATTATGTTTTGCGGTTTTATGTAGATATTTTTGTAAGGTTAACTGATGGTCGTTTATTTTAAGTTTTGTTTTGGTTTTTTTTGCTTACTTGTATATGCTGTTTAGTTTATTTAGGTATATATTTTTATAGTGGAGTGTTGTGTTAAGTTTATGACGTTGTTTAGTTGTTTGGCTGTTGGCTTTTGGGGTTTTGGTAGTTTATATTTGGATGAAGAGCTAGCAGGAAGCCAGGGAGCGCTGTTTGTTCTTGTACATGTAGTTTGTATATGAAGAGCTGGAAAGGAAGCAGGGGCTTGCCAGGGAACGCTCCGTGGCGTTGTTCTATGAAGAAAGCGGGCTAACCAGGGAACGCTCCGCGGCGCTATTCTACGAAGAGAAGCTAGAAAGGAAGCGGGGCTAGCCACGGAGCTTAGATCGTTTTGCGTTGTTTTGTGTCTGGGCTCGTCTTGTCGTGTTTCGAACTGTTTTTGTTTTTTGTTCGCTGCCCTTGTCTCTCGCTTCTCACTCGGATCGTCTCGCGCTGTTTTGCGCTGGCGTGTTTTCGAACAACAATTGTCTCGCTCCGCCGCGTTTCGTGTTTCAAGCAGTGTTTCGCTTTTCGCGTCGACCGCCCCGCTTTGTTTGGTGTTTCGTTTTGTCTTTGAATTCGAACTGTTTCGCTCCGCAGCCTTTTGTGTTTCAAGCTAGCCTTCCTCGCCCTCGCGACTAGGAGCCATGCCTGCCCGGAAGTGCAGCGGATTTGCAGCGCCGAGTGGAGAAGTGGAGCCCTGCCGCTTCCACCCGTCTGCGCTTGGGCAGCCCGCCCAAGGCAAGTTCGCAGGGCGCTGCGTCGAGTGCTGCCCGGAGGAGCTGCGGCGCCGCCTGGCTGACAGCAAGCTGACGGGGCTACTGGTTTGCGCGCTGGCCGCCCAAGCTGCCAACCCCGGCGCCGTCCGGCAGCTCTTGGCGCGCGCCTCGGCCGAGCGGCAAGAAGACCTCCAGGAGAAGGTGCGGGAGCGCCTGGGCGAAGGCGCGGAGATCCAGGAAGCTCTGGCCGACGTGTAGAGATGGAGGCGGAAGACGCCGAGGAAGTGGTCGAGGCGGGCGAGCTCGCCGAGGATATCATGGACTACTTCCTGGACCGCGGGGGCTACGCCAGGAGCGACCCGGGCTCGGACGACGAGCAGTTGGAGGAGGCCGCAGCCCGCTACTACAGGTGGCGCGGGGGGCTCGTCTACGACATCTACCGCCGGATGGGCGGCTCTCGCAGCCGCGCCGAGGTTAGCGAGCTCTTCAACCAGGAGATTGACGTTTCGGAGTACAAGAACATGGTTGGTGGCTGGGTGAAGACATTGCTAGAAGCGGAGGGCCAGACGCCCGGCGAGATGGTCCTGGGCATTCTGAAGCACCCGGTCGGGCGAATGACTCGGGACAAGTGGGCGGCCTGCCTGGCTGCGGAGGCAGACGAGGCGGGCGGAGCAGAGACGAGCGAAGATGATCTGCCGCGGCCTGCGGCCCCTAGGGCCTTGAGCGACAGCGAGCGCAGCCGAGACGAAGCTGACGCGGTCCCCGAGCTCGCGCCCAAGAGGCGCCGCCTCTGCGGCAAGCAGCCTCGGCCTTTTGCGTTCCTCAAGCGCTTCGTCGGCCCCAGTCTGGCGGCGGCGGCCGCTCTTGCCCGCGGCCCTGGCCCGCTGCGTCGCCCTGCTGCGCGGGCTGCGCGGCCGAACGAGCGCTGCGCGGGCGCGGATGGCCGGGGCTGCTCTTTCTCGACCGCCGACCTGGGCGCCCCTGCCCTGCTCCAGCCGGGCCGCGGACAGCGGCGCTGCTTGTTCTGCGGCGACGAGCACTTGGACCGCCTCCTCGCACAGCAGAATGGCTTTCAAGTGACGAAGACTTTGCTGGCGATCCGAGCCATGAGCGCGGAGAAGTTTGAGGAGTGCCTGGAGAACTTGCGGCGGCGGCGCGGAGACGCGCTCGCGTCGGACTTCCGCGCGCGTGTCTTGCGCGCGACGAAGCGCCGAGAGCAGAAGGCGGCGCCCAAGGCCAGTCCGGCGGAGAAGTGGAAGGATTTGCTGGCTGCTCGCCAGCGCCCGGCCGGCGAGCTTGGCCCTCAGGACGCCGCGGCCTGGCAGGAAACAGTCCGCCGGGATCGGATGAGGATTCGCCGGAAAGTCTTTTGCCCGGGCCGGCTCCGCTGCCGCTATAGCGAGGCCAACGAGCAGGAAGAGATCGCGCTTGCCCCGCCGGCGTCGGACGCGGCGCTTAACGACTCCGGCTTGCCTAGCCCCGACATCTCCAAACGAGCCGAGATGGCCGAGCAGTGGTGCAAGTTCGGATCCTGGCGCATGTGCCAGACGTGCCACAGTGTGCGGCCGCGGCCTTTCTGGCCCGGCGACCTTAAGCGCGTTGCCCCGCCATCGGTCAAGAGATGCGGTCTCTGCCAGCGCGGTGTCAAGGTTCCGCAGCCAAGCGATGTCCCGGAGCCGTTGCGAGGTCTCTCGGGCGAAGTTGTCGCAGCTCTACGCCCCTTGGACATTGACGTCGGGGCGTATGAAAAAGTCCCTCACGGCTATCGGGTCCATTCCTCCATGATCCGCTTCGTCTGGTCGGAAGAAGATGTCGAGGACAAGATTTTTGCGCTGGAGACACGGCGGCAGCGCAAGCAGGCCCGGCGTGCCTTCCGCTGCCTTCTTGAAGACGACAGCCCGTCCGCTTACGCGGATTTCCTGGAGAAGCATCGCCTCTTTCTGCCAGCTCACCCCGACGCCAAGGAGAGTCGGCGCAAGTTGCCGCTCCGTTTCTTAGAGGAGCGCGGGCTGGAGTGCGCTCTGTGGCCTCACCTATACTGGGACGCGTCGCTCTGTGAAACGGCGGTCCGCTTGAGCGACGAGCGCTGTCAGTGGGCCAAACGGACGGGGCTGTCGTCCAGCGACGAAGAAGGGGGCAGGGAGACGAGCGAGTCGGAGGCAGAGTCTGCTGGGGCGGAGGAAGACGAGCCAGGGAGGCGCAGGCAGCTCAAGGGCCGACAAAGCATCCGGCGCTCTTTCCTGCAGAAGGTGTTGGGGCCGGTCGCTGGCTACTCTGAAAATTATGAGCTGCTCCACTTTGTCTACGACCTAGTCATGTGGAGCACACTGGGCGGGACAAAGAATTCGACGAAAGGCGTGCCGGAGACCCTTCATATGGCTCACGTCCTGAAGGAGTTCGACCGTGGCTATTTCAACGGCATGAACCGGCGAATGACTGGCAGAGCCTGGAAGGACCACTTGCTTGGCGCCGCCGACGGATCATGCGCGCAGACTGTTGTCAACTTCGTCTCGCGCTTGGAGTTTCAGGATGGCAAGCGCAAGACGGGGACGCAGCGGTATCATGGGCGGGGAACGGTCCACTCCCATTCGCTTGATTTCCTCCGCAATGTCAGCGCCATCAAATTAGAACAGAAGTTGAACGCCTGCCTCCCGGACGCAGCGCGAGACCCGCTGACCCGCGGCATTGCCGCTGACTCGCAGCTGGATCGGACAAGCAGCGAGATCCCCGTTCGCGACGACCCGTCTGTGTGGGACGAGGCCGGCCAGAAGGTGCTGCTCCACCACAGCGAGGAAGACCATGCCCGCCACGCCCGCGCGTATTTTCCGGAGGCGCTCCAAGTGACAAAGTGTCATGAGGACGTGCTCCAGGCCGACGGCCGCGGCGCTTTGTTTCGATACGTGTCCACGTATCAGCAGAAATTTAGCGGTGGCTTCGCGGGCGACTGGTTGAACGACGACGCTTCAGACTACAGCATTGCGCGCCGTGTGCTGTTTGACCACCATCCACTTGAGCCAGAGATGTGGCTGGGCTTGAGCGGCGCCCTATTTCCGCAATTTTCTTTTGGGGGAACTCTTGTGGACATCTTTGCCCCATGGCCTGGCATGGAGGAGCCGCCTGCGTACGTCTCTCGCTATGAGGAGTGCGAGTGGAAGGGCCCCAACATGTGTCTGCTTGAGTTTCTCCGCAAGAGCAACGCGGAAGGCAAGATCATTCAGTGGGTTGAGCGGAAGTGGAAGACGGCGCAGAAGGCCGGCAGCACAGACAGTTTGGAGGAGTTCGCGCGGGCCTGTGCGTGCCCGGAAGTCGTGCAGGACTAAGTTCCAAAAGAACTACCCCGGCGAGTTGCTAGGTCCAGACAGCATGCCTAGCATCCGCCTTTTAAGCATGGTCTATGACATGACCAAATCCAAGCATTTCAAATGGATCCCATGGCAGTTGAGACTCAGTGCACGCCAATACCAAGAGGCCATGGAAGCACGTTCACATAAAGTAGCACGCACCGAAGCACAGCTACTGACGCATGCATTCTTTGACGAAACCCCAGAGGTCAGCGTGGAGGGCAGAGCGCTCACGGCTAGCTGGCTGCATCGCACTCAACAAGTGTTCCGCAATGCATTGGCCCTGTGCCAAGCCGTGCACCTGCTGAACGCCAAGGCATTGGATCAGCAAATTGCCAGCATGTGCCTCACGCAGCCAGACCCCGCACTGTCCCTGCGCACAGTCACGACCTCAGAACTTTTGCATGCAGATCGCCAGATTTGGGGCACAATCGTGGACCTTCTGCATCGCAAATGGTCCATGGACGCCTTCCATGAACTCACGCATGGCCGCATGGAGATCCATTCGCTCCTTATGCTGCGACCTAAAATCTCCAAAGCCATGCCTGCACTGCCTCCCGCTAAACGGGCCCAACTGACTCCCAAGCAGCCCAAACGGCCCGCCAGCCGGCCGCAAAAATCCGAGCCGCCGCACAAGAAAGGCAAAGGCAAGGGAAAAGGAAAGTCCAAAAACGCCTGGGCTACCTCGCGCAATGGAAAGCCTTTGCCGCAGATTCCAAACAGGGACGTGCAAATCAGACAACTGCCAGTTTGCACATGTGTGCGCGATAAAAGGGTGCCAAGACGCATCCGGCATCCCAGCATGCATCAAACCACACATGAAACAGTCCGACGGAAGTCCCGGCAACTTCCCCGGACGGTGCAGTACCGCCGGCCGCATCCAATGTGCCCAATCCCGCATGCCAACCAACACCCGCAGACGCCAGCGCATCGCATACGCCCAGGGGAGGACTATTGTTGGACGTTTTCGCAGGAGTGCGTGCACCAATTTCCGCCGCAGCGGACCAACGTGGCCTGGCGCGCTTCGAAGCTTTTGACCTGGACGCCAATCCTCAGCACAACATTCTGGATGACGCATGGTTTGAACTGCTTCTACGCATATGCTGGTCGGGCAGCGTCAGTTTGCTAACCCTGGCACCGCCGTGCAAGGAATACTCCCGGCTCAAGCTTAGGCCGGGCGGCCCCAAAGCGCTACGCACGCCTTCATGCATGCTAGGAGTGCCCAACTTGTCACCAGCAGAACTCTCTCGGGTTCGCGACAGCCGCGAAATCCACAGAAGAGGACGAGAGCTATTCAAAGCAGTAGCCTCCCAAAGTGGCGTAGCAATCTTCGAGCAGCCACCATCCAGCATGGCATGGTTAGAGCCGGAAAATTTCCAGTGCTTACAAAACTTTCACGGACACCTAGCATGGGTGGATGCGTGCCAACATGGTATGCTGCTCTCCAAATCATGGTGCTTCGCCAGCAATAATGCCTGCATCCAGCACATGGCAAGCAGATGCACGCATCAACAGAAGCACGCCAGCATAGCTGGAGTTCAGGGCAGCTCAGGCCAGTACCTGAGCACGCTTACAGCCGAGTACCCGGCAAGTCTCGCAGCAAGTTTGATCAAACATTGCGCATTCAAAGTGAGCACGCAGCCCGAGGTCCGCAGCTTGAGCAAACCCTCCCCGCTTTCACTGCACCCCGTGCGCCTGCGGGTATGCGACGGAGCTGGTATGCATTCAACTGCAGACCACTCAAACCCTCAACCAAACCACCCGCTCACCATAGTCGCACGGGCCTGGCTACATTGGCTAAACGAACAAAAACTCATCCCAAAAATTCTGGCCCACGTGGGCTCCGCAACGCATCCCCTCCTCTCTCGGAACAGCAATCCGAGGAGGCAGCACGAATAGCATTCCGCGCCATGAGCATGCCGTGCCCATCCGAGCTTGCGCCCGATGAAGGACAGCCGTACCGCCTATCACTTTTGCATGCTCTGGCGACGGCATCCAATGACCCCGACCTCAAACTAGTGCCGCTGCTGGCAGAAGG